CCTTCTAATTACATTAAGGTCTAAAGGTCTAGACAGAATTTACTTCTTTGTTTCATAATGCTTGAAAGTTGCTGCTTTAGTTCACTTCCTGTAACTGTAAGAAATGTCATGACCAAAAGCAACTTGGGAAGGAAGGGATTTATTTGGCTTAGACCTCTGGGTCTAAGTTCATCATTGAAGGCAATTAAAGCTCAAGAAGGAATGCTGCCCCATGGCTGATACTCAGCTAACTTTCTTAGCCTACAACCACCCTTCCTATGATGGAAACATCCACAGTGTGATTGGTCCTCCCATATCAATTGTCCATCAAAACAATGTCTTACAGACATTACCACAGGCCGATCTGATCTGGGCAGTTCCTTAGCTTAGGTTCCTTCATCCTATTTGATGTCAGGAGGGTTCCCCTTTCTCCACAGCCTTTCCAGCATGTGTTGTCACTCGAGTTTTTCATCTTGGCAATTCTGGTGGGTGTAAGGTAAAATCTCAGAGTCGTTTTGATTTGCATTCCCCTGATGGCTAATGAGGTTGAGCATTTCTGTAAGTGTTTCTCTGCCATTCTATATTCCTCTACAGAGAATTCTCTGTTTAGCTCTGTTGCCCATTTTTTAATTGGATTACTTGGTTTGCTGCTTTTCAGCTTCTTTAGTTATTTATATATACTGGATATTAGTCCTCTATCAGATAGAGAGTTGGTGAAGAATCTTTCCCAATCTGTAGGCAGTCATTTTGTTTTGATGATGGTGTCCTTTGATTTACAGAAGCTTTTTAACTTCATGAGGTCCAATTTTTTGATTGTTGCTCTTAGAGCCTGTGCTATTGGTCTTCTGTTCAGGAAGTTGTCTCCTGTGCCAATGAATTCAAGGGTATTCCCTACTTTTTTTTTTTCTAACTAATTTAATGTGTCTGGTTTTATGTTGAGGTCTTTGATCCACTTGGACTTTAGTTTTGTGCAGGGTGCTAAGTATGGATCTATTTTCATTTTTCTACATGTAGACATCCAGTTGTACCAGCACCATTTGTTGAAGATACTGTCTTTTCTCCATTGTTTTAGCAATTCTGGGTTTCTTGTTATTCCATACGAAGTTGAGAATTTTTCTTTCTAGGTCTGTAAAGAATTGTGTTGGTAATTTGATGGGAATTGCATTGAATCTGTAGATTGCTTTTGGTAAGATGGCCATTTTTACTATGTTAATCCTGCCAAGCCATGAGCATGGGAGATCTTTCCATTTTCTGATATCTTCTTCTAATTCTTTCTTCAGAGACTTGAAATTTTTTTCATACAAGTCTTTGACTTGCTTGGTTAGGGTTACTCCAAGGTACTTTATGTCATTTGTGGCTATTATGAAGGGTGTTTTTTTTTTCCCTAATTTCTTTCTCAACTCTTTGTCTTTTGTATACAGGAAAGCTACTGATTTTTTAGAGTTAATTTTTTATCCAGCCACTTTGCTGAAGGTGTTTATCAGCTGTTGGAGTTCCCTGGTAGATTTTTTGGGGTCACTCACGTATACTATCATATCATCTGCAGATAGTGATGTTTGTAGCAGCTTTATTTGTAATAGCCAGAAGCTGGATCATCTTGAATGAGCTGTCCCAGAAGCAGAAATACACACACGGTATATACTCACTCATATAATATAGGATATATAGTTATATATCCTATGTTATATGTCTATATAACATTGGATAAACCTACTAAAATCTATACTTCTAAAGAAACTAATCAAGAGAGAGGACCCTGACTAAAACACTCAATTCCCATCCTGAAAGTCAAAGAGGATGGACATCAGAAGAAGAAGAAAACAGGAAACAACCTAGGAACCTGCCACAGAGGGCCTCTGAAAGCCTCTGCCCTGCAGACTATCAAAGCAGATGCTGAGACTTATGGCCATCTGTTGGGCAGAGTGAATGGAATCTTATGTAAGATGTGAGAAATAGTAAGAACTGGACAGAACGGGAACCACACAAGGAGAGCAACAGAACCAGAAAATTTGAACGCAGGCGTCTTTCCCAGAGACTCATACTCTAACCAAGGACTATTCATGGAGATAACCTAGAACCCCTGCACAGATGTAGCCCATGGCAGTTCAGTGTCCAAGTGGGTTACATAGTAATGGGAAGAGGGTCTGCCTCTGACATAATCTGATTGGCCTGCTCTTTGATCACCTCCCCCTGAGAGGGGAGCAGCCTTACCAGGCCACAGAAGATGACAATGCAGCCAATCCTGATGTGATGTGATAGAGTAAGATCAGAAGGAAGGAGAGGAGGACCTCCCCAATCAGTGGACTTGGGGAAGGGCATGCATGAAGAAGGGGGAGGGAGGGTAGGATCGGTAGGGGAGGAGGGAGGGGCTTATGGGGGATACAAAGTGAATAAAGTGTAATTAATAAAAAATTTTAAAAATTGACTTTAATCCCCACATTCATTTTTAATTTTTTAAATTTTTTTGAAAATAGATTATTTGGCTTAGATCAAAACTTAAATGACAACACATGCTGGAGAGGATGGGGAGAAAGGGAACTTTCCTCCGTTGCTGGTGGGAAGGTAAACTTGTACAACCATTTTGGAAATCCATCTGGCGCTTTCTCAGACAATTAGGAATAGTGCTACCTATACCCCTCTAGGCACATATCGAAAATATGCTAAGGATACAACAAGAACATTTGCTCAACCATGGTTATAGCAACTTTATGTGTAATAGCTAGAATCTGAAACAACCCAGATGCCCCTCAATTACCAAGAGTCCTCATCAAGAAAACCTTTATCCTTCCAGAAATTTTCCACTGCATTGGGTTTCTACACCACCTCCCACCTGCCCCCCAACTCAATTCTAGCCATCTTTCCTCACACTTTCTCCCTCCACCTGATCTACACTCTCCTGTCTCCACCTACCCCCAACCCCTGTCTGCCAGCAAAACCTATCCTATTTCCTCCTCCCAGGGAGATCCATGTGTCCCCTTAAAACCCTCCTCTTTACCTAGCCTCTCTGAGTCTAGAGATTTAAGCTTGTCTATCACTTACTTAATAGCTAATATCCACTTCTTAGCAAATACATACCATATTCATCTCTCTGGATCTGGCTTACCTCACTCAGAATAATTCTTTTCTAGTTCCATCCATTTGCCTGCAAATTTTATGATTTTTCAAGAGCTGAGTAATACTCCATTGTGTAAATGTGCCATACTTTCTTTATGCAGATTATAAGATATTTTTCATAGGCCAAATATATTCCAGAGAAAGACACAAAAGCTCTGTACTTCTGGGATGGACTTAACATCTTTAATCAATTTATTTTATGGAAATTTTAGGTTCACTGCAAAACAGAAAGTACAGCAAGTTTCCATATATTTTCTGTTTCTACATACTCAGCCTTCTCAGTATTCTCAATACCCAAATCTCATACCCAAGGGGTCCAATTGTACCAATGAAACATGACCATCACCCAATTACCAGTTGTGACTGACCGTAGATGTCATACACTCCTTGACTTTCAACAAATGTGTAATGACACATATCTACCCTAATAGAATTACTTAGTAGCTTTACTCTCCTGTAATTGCTTTCTGCTCCCCTTATCCATGCTTCCTCTCCCTATGCTTGACAACTATTCTCCTATTACTGTCTCCATGGTTTTGTCTTTTCAAGAATGTTGTATAGTTGGAAACATGGTAACAGTCACTTTTTCAGGAGCATTACTGGTATTCCTTTCTATGTGTCTTTTCATCCTTCAGTGATTCATTTCCTTTTTATAGTGCTGAATAGTTTCCATTTTCTGGATATGTCCATTCATGTGCTAAAGGGCATCTTGGTTGTTTCCAGTTTGGGGCAACTATAAATAATACAGCTATTAAAAAATCTGTGTATAGTTTTCTTTTGTGGAAAGTTTTCATTGAATTTGAATAAAGAACAAAGGATGTAATTGCTCAATATATTGAAACAGTATGTTCAGTTTTCTAAGAAACTACAAGACTAATTTTCAAAGTAGCTGAGAATGTTGCATGTCTACCAGCAATGAGAGATTTCTCCACATTCTTACCAGTATACGGTGTTGTCAGTGTTCTAGATTTTGGCCCTTCTAATAGATATATATTAACCATCTTATTCTTTTGAATCATCAGTAAAATTTTGTACTTATATTCCTGGTTTTAAATGAGTATTTGGTTAATGATTTTCTTTTTACTAAACAGCGAGTTTGATGATAGCAAACAATACCTCTGATTTTTTTTCATCTATTTTTATCACTTATGTCTAGCAAAGTACCTTGAGCCTAATAAACTTATGAATAATTGAATAAATTGGTCAAAAATCTTATCATTTCACCTTGGTTATAGGCTTTTTTTTTAAATAAGAATCCAAGACTCTCGGAGATGGCATGACAGAATAAGAGCTACTTAGACTAGACCAGGCATGTTTAGGGTCAAAGAGTCCTGTGGAACAGTGGGAAGAAAAGATAAAAGGACCCAGAAGGAACAAGAATGCTTCAAGGTGACCATCAGAGTTAACTAATCTAGATCCATGGGGCCTTACAGAGACAGAAGCACCAACCAAAAGCAAGCATGGACTGGACCTAGGCTCCATATACCTATGTAACAGACAGGCAGTTTTATTTTCATGTGGGACCCCAGTAAGTTGAATGGAATGACATGAACTCTGATGCATGCTTTCAATTACTTTGGCCTAGCTTACTGACTTGCCTGGCCATAGTAGATAAGGAGGAGCTCAGCCCTGAGCTGCATGCTATGCTGGGGTAGATTAGTGGGGACCCATTTTCTGAGGACAAGGGGGTAGGGAATAGGGTGAAGAGAGTGGGAGAGAATGACCAGGAGGAAGAGGGCTACAATTGGGATGTAAAATAAATATATAATTTTGAAGCAAATAATAAATAAATAAAAGCTACTTATACCATAAAATGGGATACTAGATAGCCTGCAGCTGTGAGAACTTAGCAGCATCTACTACAGCCATCCTTAGAGGCAGCTGTTAGAGCACTTTTGTTTTGCATGTCATATGAGGAAGCCTGACTTCTTGCTCAAGAATTTCTTCAAAGCTTCATGGATGTCTCTGTTTCTCAGGCTATAGATAATAGGGTTGAACACAGGTGTCAGGATAGTATACAGCAGAGAAAACACTTCACGCAAGTGTTGCGAAGAGTTGGCTGAAGGTACAAGATATGTGGCAATCAGTGTTCCGTAAAATACTGTGACGACAGTGAGATGGGAAGAACAGGTGGAGAAAGCCTTTCTCTGGCCTGTGCCAGACGGTATTCTTAGGATGACAAAGAGAATGCATGCATGGGAAATTGTGATGAGGAGAAACGGGACCAGAGTGACTGCAGAAGAGGTGCAAAGGCAATGGTCTCAGTCAGTGAAGTATCCATGAAGGAGAGATGAATCAAAGGGACAAAGTCACAAAAGAAGTGATCAATTTCATTAGGGCCACAGAAGTTCTGTCTACACAGCAGGACCATGGTGACAGATGTGAGAAGGAAGCAACAGGACCAAGATCCAGTAGCCAACCTAAAACAGAGAGGACCAGTCATCAGGATGGGATATCGGAGAGGCTGGCAGATAGCAAGGTAGCGGTCATAGGACATCACAGCGAGCAAGAGGCACTCTGTTGCAGCAAGGGATCCAAATAAGGAAAATTGTGCTAAGCAGCCAACCACTGAGATAGTCTTTTGGTTGGCTATGATAATCAGCAACATCTTGGGGACAATGTTGGAGGTATAGCAGACCTCCAAAAAGGACAGGTTGACTAGGAAGAAGTACATGGGAGTGTGGAGAGCATGGTTGCACAGAACTAGGAGAACAATGGGGATGTTTCCAGAAACAGTTAGGATGTAGAAGATGAAAAACATTATAAAGAGGGAAATATTTAGCTGCAGGATGGAAGAGAATCCTCGAAGAACAAACTCCACTATCATTATTTGGTTTTCCCAGGATAAGGTCATCATGCTTTGGCTTCTGAGAAGGAGAACACAAAATGATAAAACATACAAAGTATAGCTTGTCCTACTTTACATGAGAACATGAACGGGATGGTTTTTATTCTGGATTCTATCTGCTCTCTGTTCTGTGGTACCTGAATGGGAAAGAGGGAGTGAAGAAGAGAATGGGGGTTCTTTAACTCACACGAAAGAAAATAATTTAAAATAAGAACTTGTGGTTTTATTCTTTCCTTTTCCTTTATTTGGTCTCTTTACTTGGTGAGGAGCAGAAACACATGAAAGAGAAGAATACAAAGACTGAGTGAGAATCGCCTATTACACACTTCCTGAGTCTATTCTGGTAATCTTGTGAGTTACAGACAGGAAGGAAAATCTGAAAGGAAGTGCAACAGAGAAAACTAGGAGGAGGTTTGTGAAATGACAGAGAGAACATGGAGAATCAAGGATTCAAGACAAAGAGCCCCTCCCACTTTAACTAGTAACAGTGTTATTTAAGTCACTGTTAGGCCACAGAGGAGAGCTTTGCAGCCAGTCCTGAGGGTACCTGATAAAACAGGATCAGATGAATGGGGAGGAGGTCCCCCCTATCAGTGGACTTGGCAAGGGGCACGGTGGAGAGGAGGGAGAGAGGGAGGGACTGGGAGGGAATGAGGGATCGGGACACAGCTGGGGTACATAGTTAATAAAATGTAACTGATAAGAAAAAAAAAAAAAGAAACGTCTCCTGTCATATCAATTTTATTTCCTCTTTGTGAGCTGTAGGACATGCTTATTTCTGATTTGCTTTCATGGGATTTTAAGAGGTCTTATGAGTAGGAGGTTTGAACTTCTCTGATTCTGAGGTCAAAGATTTTAAGGCATATACCAGGAATGAGTAGATTTTCCCACAATTTTAAAAAGATACAATAAAAACAATTTAAAGGATTTTATCTAAGGCTTTAATAAATGATACCAGTTCAGGTAACACAGAACAGGAGCACAGAGAGTGCAGAATAAAAACCATCTGTTCATACTCTATCCAGAACCAGAGAGTGCAATGGGTATAATGAGTGCAATATGCATAATTTGGGGGCTTTTGAATGAGTTAAGGAATCCCAATTCTCCTCTTCAATTGCACTTTGGTGAAAGCCACTCACCAACAAACAGAGCACAGAGTACACAGAGAAGCACTCCTTAAACCCTGCTGTGGTTCAGCAGAGTCTGAGGCTGGAGTCACTTTACTAATTTCAAGATCCAAATCCAGGATGAAGCTCCTTATGGCAATTATGGAGGGACCATATGGCTGAGGAAAGCAAGGTAAGATGAGACACGCTATGTACAGCCCATAAAACACCATGTGGATGTAACAAAGTGTTGTTACCGTGAGTTGTGAAAGAGCCTTAAATAAAGCCAGGGGTTCTGATTTATGAGTCAGACATTAAACTTTTTGTCTAGGTTCTTTAAGGCTTGGTTTTTATTATAAATACAGAAAACAATGGATTAGAGAAGAATGTAAAAAATGTAAAAATCATACAAATGAATATTGGAAAAGCACTGACTATTCAGGGCTTCAGATAGTATTTAAGATTACTAAGAAATGTCATACTTTTGAAGAACCATTAATATCAAATCCTATTCTTTTTTGCCCTACCCTGAACATTGTGTGTTCTTGGAATTTTGTGTTAACAATTGATCCTTCCCACCCTGTGTCACACTGATAGCCTTTTGTTAATATGTGATATTTCACACTGCTGTAAAAACATAGAGACTATCCTGTCAAGAATGAATTCCTACTTTCTAAGGGTTTTATAGAACTAAGCTACAATCTCTACAGTTCTGACACCCATGGGATGCCTAGAATCTAATGATTCAGACTCTGAGCTCATTGAGTGTAGTATGGGGAAGCTGAAGAAAGGAATTTTCTCTACAAAGCATACCTATGATCTAAGATCTCAGAGGAAGGACTTAGTTATGACACTACACAACCAGACTCCTGAATACTGCTGTTGCTAATGATAATATGTCTGCCCCAGCTAATCCTCCAAGTGCTGAAAATATAGGATTCATAGTCCTCACCATTACTCAACACCACAACTGCAAGTACTTTATAGGTATTTACACTTTACATGGGAACACAGAGACCTTGCAAAGCTCTCCATGCTTATCAGCCAAAAAAAAGACAATGATGAGATTTAAAACTATTGTGGACCTCCAGCTGCTAACAACACTGACTGTTTGCTAGCTTGGCTACAAAAGTTTGACTGCATCATCTAACGGGTAAAAAAGAAGAAAAGTTCCACAGAGCAGAATTCTACCCAGTTTTTAAATTCAGGGGGAAAAAAAGCCTATTTGGTGTATAATTCCATAAATAATATCATTCTCTTTAAATCTCCTATATTGTCTCCTGATCTTGCTTTTGGGTTTCTTTTATATTCTTTCTTTATCATCTTTTTAAAAATCAGAGAAAAGATATGAGAATCATTTTGGGGAAGAAGCATAGAAACTTATACTCTTTCCTCTCTACAAAGTGAAAGTCTCACTAAGGGCTGCTTCAAACCCTGGATAGTGGAGAAAGTCTTGAAATAAACAGAAAGTTGAATGGAAATAGATAGGCCTGTGCTCAAAGACGGTGAGGCCAAATTAAGAACACGGGCTCTAAAACTAAATGGGCTAGGTTCAAATCCTCTGCTCCACCACAAAGGTATTTGGTTGAGCTCAAGCTTGAAAACTTTAAGGAAAGAAAAAGTCTGTTATCTCCCAATCTGTGTGGGCGAGGCTTTCAAGGACAACAAACGTAGATGACCTGACATCTTCGCCATAGCTTGCAAACACTATCTTCTCAGCAGAATGAGGAAACTTTTTTTTTAAAAGGGCATTTTTTTAAAATGCAGATGAATTGGCTCTGATAAGGGGCTCCTATATTCACTCTTCACACACACTTCTTGGCTCTAGAACCACAAGCCCAACAAACTACGCAGTGGGTGTGTACAAGATGGTGGCGCAGGGGTGAACCCAGAAAATGTGTCCATAAGTGATAGGCATTTCCCGTCCTTCCCTTCCATATGTTCTCCTCCCCCTCTTCTTGTCAATCTTTCTCCTGCACTGCCTCTTTTCCTCTCATTACTCCCAGACTAGTCAGTGTTGTCACTAGGTAGACGGTGGATGCCTCACGGCAGACATCTGCTTCCACTCGCTGGAGATATGGAGATATGCAACAAGAACGGCTTGTAAAGGTAATTTTAAAAACTGATTTACTGAAGAGTTATTAGGTTGCTACTTTTATGAGACAGGTGCCCACCACACAGCCCAGACTGACCTTGAACCCTGTCTGCCTACTGAAACTCCTATGTGATGGGATTTTAGGTATGCACTATGATGGTCTGGCTTGTATTGAAGGTTTTTAACATTCCATTCCAATTTGATTTTTTTTGTTGTTCTAACATAAGACATTCTATGGCTCCAGGAAGTATCCATAACACATATTTTTGAAGAAAAGAAATGGCTTATCACAACCAATGTGAAATCACAAATACTCTGTGAATTACAGATTTTGTTGCTTTCATTTGCAAAATAGAAACAAAACAAAGGAGGATGTGAGGTGAATTTAGGGATCATCTACATGGAACCTATTCTCTGAACTGAAGGCAGGCGATAGGGGTCATCAATGAGAAACCAATTCAAAACTGATCTGGCAATACACACAGTGTACTCATGCCGGGTGCTGGTCAATTTATGTGAAAAAGTGGTTAAACAGATAAGAATTTGATTTTGTCACTGAGATGATAGTTGATTAAGTCATTAATGAATTTTATCTCAGTCTAATCTAGCAAAATATACATTAAAAATTGGAAAGGGGGATATATTATCATAACAGATCAACTTTGCCTACCAGTGCCTTGGAGAGGTCCACTCTTACTTTGCAGATCCAGGCCACATACATTAAAACATGTCCACTTACCCTGGTTTTAAATAATGAGATTAGATGTGTGTAATCTTGCTTTTATCCAGAAATACACTTCTCTGTGCACTCAACAGAAACTAAGGGCTATGTCCCAGTGCATCTTGGAGACTGGTAGAATATTGACCCTGTTTCTCAGCCTATTCCTTTGTGTAAACTTTGTGCCTTTGTGAGTAAAGCTGTCACCTCTCCAGTGATGTCAAACACTGAAATTTTCCAAATGACTCACATGGGAAATTTCTATTTATTTTGCAATGTATCTGAAATCAAGGTACTTTGGTCACACAGGAAATCTTTTCATTTCTTTGCTATATGTTAAGCTTGCACTTAGAGAAAGACTATGTGTGGTTGTACTATAGTTTATTATAATGAGTTATCACTAAAAGCAGTATTTAATTTGTTTTTATCCTCCAGAAGAAAGATGACTCTGCACTTCCTTACTGTGGTAGGTTTGACAGGGAACAGAAGTGTCTATATTAGTAAGCATGTGTTGTCAGAGATAGTAGCTGGGACTCTACGGAACTTAGGGTCTTCTCAGATTATGTGTGTGTGTGTGTCTGTGTGTGTGTGTGTGTGTGTGTGTGTGTGCATGAACAGAATTTAAATGAAGTAATCATATAATGAGAGAGACAATGCCCCAATTAGACATGTAACCAAGTAAAACCCAAATGCCAGGAATAGGTTACAATGATTTCAAAATAGCAACAATAGACATAATCTAAGAACTCAAAAAGAATATGAACACATACTTCAATGAAGACTGTAAAAGCACAGATGAATAAAATAATAAAAACAATTTAAGATATAAAAACAGAATTTAATAAGTAGAATTTCTTTTTGTCTTTCTTTTTTATTAGTATTATTTTATTTTTCATAATTTATTCATTTTATAGCCTGATTACAGCCCCCTCCCTCAACTCCACCCTGTCCCACCCTCCATCACTCTTCTCCCAATCCCCTTCCTCTAGTCCACTGAAAAGGGGAGTATTTCTCCCCTGCCATCTGCCCACAGCTTATGAAGTCTCATCAGAACTGCCTGAATCCTCTTCCTCTGTGGCCTGGCAAGGCC